TAATGCTTGGATCATAACATCATTCGAGATACAATTGTATATTGTGAATGTAGGTATACTTTCATCTCCAGTGCAGAGTGTAGTAAAACCAATATTTGTTTCAGCCATAGATGGTGCACCATCTGTTGTAATAGACACTAATTTATGTATAGGAAAATCTGTCTTTGAAAGCATTGTAGATATCTTGACCCCTTGTTTGACCCTCAAGACTATAACAGTTAATTCTCTTTAATCGATGAACTAAAGTTGTCCCCCTTGTGGGATGCAATTTTCCTTTTTTGAAGCCCCACTCTGGCTGTTGCCCTAATATAATAACCTAATGGTTAAACGGGGTTTCTGGTCCCTCTCTGCTGGTAATCGTCCTCCGCATGGTGGTACTTTGTGTCACCGGGCGTTTATTGCTCTGTGTGATGTCCTGGAGTAAAATGTACCTACTTACTAGTTAATTCTCTGGATATCATATCCACACACACATAACTGCAATGTGTCAATCAGATCAGATCCAACTTTTCCGTTCTTCTCATCACAAAAAAGAGATAACATAATATAATTGATAATAAATAGTATTACCGTTTTATTTTTACAGTCTTTCAAAAGTAAGTCATCCGCTGTACAGAAACTTTTTTTCATGACCTCACCCTCCCAAGTTTGTTATTTTCCTTTAATATTAGCTTCATAACTAGGGTGATCATTAAGGTTCCTAATGTTTTTGTCCTTCAGCCAGGATTTGTAAAATGCACTGTTGAACACTTACGATTGACCTTAAATCAGAGACTTTAGCCTCTCGAGGTTCACTACCATTTAGAAATTATGTCCAGCTATGAAATATCTGTCTAAATTACTTGTTATAAATAGCGTTAGTAGAGTTACAAGTGTCGACTCTGTGGCTAAGTCAATGCGAACGCTTCGTAATGCCGGGTTCGATCCCAGTTGCGGGCCATGCGCCATGGGTTGATTTCGAAAGTGGTATCAAGAAAGCCCACCGTCCATTAAAACAATGGCAAACTACTGGACGTAAATTTGCCTAGAAAAACCACACAACATCCAGGGGCTGTTGGGGTTGGTTCTCCAGCGTCCTGTAAAGGATACGCAACCAACCTTTAGAGTTACTAGTAAAGCGCGCGCGCACGCACCCAAACTTATCTTTCAACCCAGGGAACAAGAACTAATCCTTCCACTCACTAGTATAATTAAGTACCTAATGTCTTCTGGGTGACTCATTACGACTAAATGCTTCACAAAACAGTTGTGAATTTCAATGTCAAAAACACTAACGTAGCACAAAATCACACTACAGAGTGTCTTCAAAGTCATCTCAATCGTTTCTGACAAGACTAGTCAACATGTCTCTTGCCGACAGCTTTTACATCACTGTCTTGATGGTGAATTTTTGAGCGGCGTTGATGTTGCCAGCAGTGATGAGTTCAAGTGCTTTCCTGTAGGGTTGCTAGTAAGCCAGATCTAACACTTTTTGGCGGGTAACTGCATACCAATCCACTTTAAGGTCCGTTGTAGACAGATGAGTCTGTCATTGGCTGGCCAGAGGACGACTTCGACGCCAGTAAGAACAGTATTTGGGTATCTCTCCTTTGATCGCATTAACGCTTCAAGAGTTCTTTTCAGCAACTTGGTTGGTAATGCTAAACCTTTTCACATGGCGCAAATAACCTAGTCACAATTATAACTAGGGCTGTACCGAATATTCGCTTCGAATTCGCTTCGGGGCCGAATAGTGGACCCAATAACTATTCGGTATTCGGCCGAATAGTTGCGGTCGGGCCGAATACGAATAGTGGTTACCTTACAACCGTTTCTGGACTGGTGGAAAAAAAAAACATCAAGATTTCCCACCTTGGTTTATACTGTCAAGCGTTATCTTTGTGCACCACCTACGAGCGTACCAAGTGCCCCTTTATTTCCATCTTGTATGTGTTGCGAGTATAGTGTTTTTAGGTGTGTTGCTGTAGAAACAAAATGCAACACTTAAAAATGCAAGAGGGGCAGAAAAGCAAGTGTTCTAGTTTTGTCGGCTTGATTTCTTTGAGTGGAGAGTCCTCTTCGTTGATTGTTTGAAGTAACGGGAGGTCGTCATCATTTATGGGTGTCGTAACTGTTCTTTCGTCGTCTCGTTGAAACGGCAGCGGCTGATGTTTTGATCGACGTTCGGTTTCTTCGTTGTCTTTGTTGTTTGATCTTCTGGCATTGGCCGCTCGGCGTCTGGTTTTTTCGTCTGCCATGATTTCTTCGTTATTTGATCTTCAGGTGTTGGCTGCTTCGTCTCCGTGGCCGCGGTGGTCTTTGATGTCGCTATCTTGTTTCCGTTGACTCCTTGAGCTTGCGGGGGGGTGGGGGTGGGCTGGGCGACTTGTGAGGACGGCATTGTTTTCTTCGTCAGCGTTTTTGTTTGTGATGTTTCGCCTTGCGGGTTTTTATCTTGACTCTCTGTATTTGTCGTATTTTCCTGTTTAGTACAGCTGGAAATATCTTCAGTGAAAAAAAAAAAAGCTGCCCTAATGCTGACAACATGAAACGAAGGTTTTTCATGGAGGTGTGTCAGTACACGAACTAATACGTGCTGCAGGAGATCGCAGATTGTGGCGAGGCATAATTGCCCATGCCAGCCGGCAAAGCACAGGATGATGATGATTCACTATTCGTATTCGGCTGAATAGTTGGTCCAGCTATTCGTATTCGGCCGAATAGTGAAAATCACTATTTGGTACAGCCCTAATAATAACCCAAAACTCCTTCAGGGATACTAGTTGAACGTGTGTGTAAGAAAGAGAGAGAGAGAGAGAGAGAGAGAGAGAGAGAGAGAGAGAGAGAGAGAGAGAGTGAAAAGCAACGAACAGGCGTATCTGTTCGCTATCTGGCTAGAGGGAGTCAAACAACAATCAGTTTTCATTTCAGACATTATGACATAGACCCTAGTGTGTGAGTGAGTGAGTGTGTGAGTGTGTGAGAGAGAGAGAGAGTGTGTGTGTGAGAGAGAGAGAGAAGGATGAGAGAGAGAGAGAGCGTGCAGTCGACTAGTCCATGTGTGTAAGAGAGAGAGAGAGAGAGAGGAGAGAGAGAGAGAGAGAGAGAGAGAGAGAGAGAGAGAGAGAGAGAGAGAGCGTGTTAAGCAACGAGCAAATGTATCTGTTGGCTATCTGGCTAGAGGGAGACAAATAACAATCACAGTTTTCATTTCAGACATTATGACATTTACGTTGGAAATCTGGCTATCATTGTTTGCCAATTGACTATGAGTTTCTGGAAATTTCATGTGAAGTAAATACCGCTGGCTTGATGCTGGTTAACTCTTTTCCTAAACTCTTGATGCACTTGTATTGTGTTCTAACGCACTCCCAAAGCTCCACAGTATATATGTCTTTGTTTACCATATTCTACTCAGGTGTTAATTATTTAAATCTTTTTCAGTGTTTCAGCTCCGTACAGCGGTACTGAATTGACATTATCTACAGTCAAAATAAGTAATGATAATGTTTTTGTGAGCCGTAGATGAATGATGAGAATAACTCTGACAGATACAAAGAATAATGGAGTCCTGAAAGAAACAGACTCACGAAGAGAACTGATTTCCGACAGGAGAGGGAGACAATCAACATTGTTCGGTCTTGTCATGAGAAGGAGGAGAAAAACAAAGAAAGGGGGCGGGGGTAGTTAGAGGGAAAAATAGGCAGAGGAGGAAGGCGGAGAGAGAAGATACTAAACAGTTTGACATCATGGCATGGATGATCATCCATCTCAGAATTAAGGAGATCAGTATGGATCTGTTGTGTCTTAACTTCCCTTTAGAACATACTCATTGGTATTCTGTCTTCTGACTGATCAAATACATATGTAGTGTCTCATCTATTGTGGGATAAGAATATATCTACTGTGGAATAATTTAATCTATTATAGGATAATTATATCTTTTGTGGGATAAAAAAAATTACTATGGGAAATTTAATCTACTGTTGGATAAGAACATATCCTCTGTGGGATAAGTGCATACACTATGTGATAAGAACAAATCTATTGTAGGATGATTAGGTCTATTATGGGGTAACTGCATTTATTGTAGAATAATACATCTTTTATGGGATCCTATTTTGTCTACTGTGAGAATAAGACAGCACCACATATGCAGTAAACAACAATACTAATTACAGACAGAATAAACAGAAATGACTACAAACAAACAACATAAACAGTGACACTGGGTTAACTACATAATCTTTAATTTGAATGAATACAATAAGCACAGAGACTGCACATTATCTAGTTCATTTTAGAAACTCACTGTTATAAGGAAAAACAAAGTCACTGCCCAAGAAACACACACACCAGACACACACAAACAATAACAGTTACAGACACACAATCAGTCACAATATCTTATACCAATTTGATCTCATATAATTAGGTTCATCAGTTTTGACTCACTAGATCAGTGATGATTCACTAGATCAGTTGTCTCACTAGTTACTGCTGACTCCCTTAATCAATGCCGACTCATTAGATCAGTGCTGACTCAATAGATCAGTGCTGACTCACTAGATCAATGATGACTCACTAGATCAGTGTTAACTTACTTGATCAGTCGTCTTACTAGTCACTCCTGACACCTTAGATCACTGCTGACACCATAGATCACTGCTGACACCATAGATCACTGCTGACACCCTAGATCAGCGTTGACTCCCTAGATCAGTGTTGACTCCCTAGATCAGTGTTGACTCCCTAGATCAGTGTTGACTCCCTAGATCAGTGTTGAGTCCTTAGATCAATGATGATTCACTAGATCAGTGGTGATATGTTAAACAAAACAAAAATGTTACGCCTGTTCCAAGTTGGATAACCACAAAGTACCATCAAGCCTAAAAATCGGACATACCAACATGTCAAAATCAATAACTATTTGTACAGCACAACGAGTATCTATCTAAGTTAGGCCAAACACAGGCTGTGACAGCTTAATTAGAAGATTTTAAACTTCAACAGGCAGGGTATCAATTCTTTCTTGCCACTTTTTCATACTCATTCATCCTCCTTTCCAGTTCAGGTCTGAAGTGACGAATAAGACCCTGAAACAAAGTACAATTCACATGCTAGGTAGGTAAAAAATAAAAAGGAGGCACATGAAGATACAGAGAAAAGAAAACAAGGAAGACAATCTAGAACAGAATGCACGGAATACAGAAGAAGATATAAAAAATGCAGGAAAGACAGACTAGGATATATAAAGATACATAAAGGAATACATGAAAACAAAAATGAAGACACAAAAGAGAATGTATGCAAGATGGATGAGGATGTATAGAGGAGAATACATGGAGTACAGAGGAAGATAATTACCATCAAGTGCCCACCTATCCCCGACATTGTGTCCACAACCAGCTTGAGGCTCTTTCAGCAGCTTCGCCCAGCTGCTTTAGTGCCGGTTTATGGGTTTCCTTGCAAACCCTGCTTCAGTACATTGTAAGTAAGGATTAGCCCTCTTGCGGCCACCTCAACGTCTAAGAGTTTTACTGCGAAACCTTCATCGCTCCTCAGACTGGCCACCAGGTCGCTGTGCTTCTCGAGCTTGTACAGGTGTTGCTCTTTGATTTGCGACTCACGTGGCATGCTAATCTCTACCAGGACAGGCTGACGTTCTGCCACCATGTGCAATACTATGTATGACCTCAGGACAGTATTCTGGATTAGTTCAGTGCAACTTTCAAAACCAGACAGGTCAATAGCCAGTTACCAGTCCCGCGCAGTCTAGTATGGATGAAGCTTATGTGACTTTGTTAAATGTACCTTTAAAAATCTGCCCAGCCTTGAGGAAGCGCATGGAAGGGACGTCAGTACTGGCCCTCGTGTTGGTCCTCATCCTGTCTGTTATTATAGTCATATCATCCATAAATCCTTTCAGTGGCGGCATCCAGTGATCCCTTATCTTAAGGACCTCCCTGTACCCGGAAGCCGGATTTAGCATAACTTGTATGGCCATGACAAAAAGTATACCTGAGAAATTGTACACCTCACTGCTACATCAACTTGCAGCTCAGTCCACCTCGTAGTGAATACAGGGATAGAGAAGCATACAGCGAATTTGTAAAAATACTGCTTGATCATAGCAATGATCTCTAACTGTGCTGTATAAAGATGACAGCCAACAGGAAGAGATCTTACATGTATAAACTAAAAGAATAAGACCCTTGAAATCAATGTAAGAAGATGACAGGAAAGAACCTTAAATGTACAAAAATAAATGAGGCAGGAAGTTAACTCCTAATAGGAGGACACTAGCAATAGTAATGTTGCAAATAATAAAGGAAGATATCTCAAATATACACAAAGACAGGAAAACCAGCAATTTAGGAGTTATTAATTCTTCTCGCTACACAGTGGACACCACCCATCATCACTTACTTGCACTGGCCAGGCAGCACCATCACCCAGAGCACAAATTGTGTGTCCTTCAATCTGTTTGCTTAGCTCGTATAACATGTCAATCTCATCTCTACGTGCATTACCGCTTTCTGAAAAATATTTTAGCATTCAGTTTTCATTTCATGGCTATCTCAACTCCCAGCTATTTCATTTCACATTTAGCTCAATTTTACAGCTATCTCAGCCCACAGCTTCAAGTGAGGGTACACTGCCAATCTGTCAGCTGTTGCATTTCAGAACTATCTGAAACAGCTGCTCACTGCTATCTCAGTTCATACCAAACTGATTGTTCAACTATTTCAGTTTTACAATTACTAGAGTTACTGCTAAAGTTATCTAATTTCAATTTTACAACAAACTCTGTGCAGCTGCCTAAGCCAATACCCTAATTTCCCAACTATCTAAATTTTACAACTAGCACAGCTCACAACTTCAATCGACAGTGTAGTGTCAATCTATTGTCAGTTCACAGCTTCAGCTGATAATTCAGTGTCTGTTGCTGTAACAAGTAGGGCTGTGACGAATATTCGCTTTGTATTCGCTTCGGGGCCGAATAGTGGACCTAATAACTATTCGGCCGAATAATTGTGGCCGGGCCGAATACGAATAGTGGTTACCTTACATCCGTTTCTGCATACACTGCAATGGACTAAAATAACTCTCTCAATAAAACAATAGCTGCTGTTGCCTAAGTCTGTCGTAGCGGGCGAACTGAGACCTGGTTGCGTGGTACAAACTGCATAAAATGTCAACCGCAATGTGTGCGTGTGTGTTTATGTGTGTGAATGTGTGTGTGAGAGAGAGAGAGAGAGAAAGAGAGAGAAGAAAGAGAGAGAGAGAAGAGAGAGAGAGAAGAAAGAGAGAGAGAGAGAAGAGAAGAGAGAGAGAGAAGAGAGAGAGAGAGAGAGAGAGAGAATGAGAGAGAATGAGAGAGGGGGGGGGGAGAAATCATACATTTTTCGTTCTTTCAGGGTGTCTTCGTCCAAATCAAATTTGAAGACCCCCGTGTGGGTTCCGGGGCCCCATTGTCGGGAAAACAAGAATAGACCCACTGCCTCCCCAAAAGCATGTCGTAAGAGTCGACTAATTGGGGAGCTTCCTTTGAAGTCAGCGTGCATCTGCCGGAGAGGCAAGGAACCAACAGTCTGTATTCAAAAGAATGAGATCTGTAAAACTGATGCACATGCAACACTCAGGTTCTGGAACAGGACTACAGTTCAGTAGTGGACGAGCAACCAGAACTTTCCGCCAGAGTATACAGCTGGTGAACGCGAAGAAGAAGAAGAAGAAGAAGAAATTTGAAGATATTGCTAACGAGAATATGAAGGTGGTTTTAAATTACATCGAACGAACGGCCTAGCGAACAATGGTTTTGAAAGAGGCGTGAGCCCGAAGTCAACTTATTACAGACATCAGAAGGAGACAGTCGTCATTTTTCGGCCATGTTATGAGAAGAGCAAAAATGGAACATGTGGTGACCGCTGTGAAGATCTGTGGAAGGAGGGATAGAGAAAGACAACGATAGAAGATTCTTGACAGTCTTGTTGCATAGCAAGGAGGTGTGTCAGGGCACAAACGGATACATGCTGCAGGAGATCGCAGATTGTGGAGAGGCATGATCACCCACGCCAGTCGGCAAGCCTATTGATGATGATACACTATTCGTATTCGGCCGAATAGCTGTCTCACTATTTGTATTCGGTCGTATAGTGAAAATCACTATTCAGTAAGCCCTAGTAACAAGTGTATATAAAGAATGCAATTCTGTCTAACCCCTTGTTGCATGTTAGGTTAGTTTGATGTTTCACCAGCTACTCTAACAGCTTCTTATTGTACATGTTACAATCCTTCCATTAAGTGGATCAAACATACTGGAAACTGCCAAAACTCCACAATTATTGATGTTTAACACAGTCCCAGGTCTTATTGTCATCTATGAAACAAACCAAATATAATTCTAAAGGAAAGGGGACTGACTTCCCTGCACCCAAGTGTTCAGAGTGGCTGGTGAGTGTCCCACAAAGCATAAAATGCCTTAACTGGAAGGATTTGAGGCAAAAATGTATACCCCTCTGTCACAGAGACCCCTTTATGAAATCTTCTTCTTCTGGTCTTATTCTCAAAAGGATAGTTGGCACATTGTATTATGGTTTACAGCTAGGCAGCTATGTCTGCACACTCCAGCCTCAGTATATCCTTAAGTAATCGCTTTTTTTAACATTCTTGTTAGGCAGTCGGTTGAATTCCACCCCCCCCCCCCCCCCCCCCCCCTTCCCTTCCAAAAAAGGATCCCAGATCCCAGGAAGGGGAAAAAATATGAAAATCTATATGTAAAGTCACCACACAAAGTTTTGATGAGTAGCTACTTACGGAATCTGTGCATGATCTTCATCATCCAGTTAATTCCCTCACGACATGGAGTGCACTGCAACAAGCCAAGGTAGAGCATTCATTTAGATGCAAGGGCAATAAGCTTAAAAGGGGCAAATCAATGCTGGGATGGACAGAGGATGACATCATGCAGGTTTGCAGCCTTACAGACATCCAGTGGATACCAGTGTCTAAAGTGACCAATCTCACATTCTCCTGTGTCGTGACGCTCGATAGGAATTGTCAGGAGCAGAATCCAGCTGCTGTCAAAGCCGAGGTATGCGCGCTAATCACTGACAAGTCAGCTGAGACAGATGTGGTGATCTTCGCAGACGGGTCCATTATACAAGGACATAAAAGTGCATTGGCATTTACAGCTCGCTCTTCAGGCAGAACAGTTCAAGAAGCCAGCGATGCCTTCTCCATGACCACCAACAGCATGACGATGGAAGTGATGATGATGACACAAGCTTTCATGTGGCTAGAATCACGGGACTATTCCTGCTTGCGTGTGCTGAGTGACTCTTTGAGCATGATCTGGCGGGTCGAGGCAGGCTGGTTACGCAGACAGTGGTTTGAGTCATTGCAAAACTCTCCTGTGTGTGCAGTTACCTTCATATTCGTCCCAGGGCATTCAGGTGTTGTTGGTGCTGCATTAATTGAAGATGGCCGGCCCATGGATCATGCAGACATTGTCATTGCCCTTAGAGAGAGATAGGACGTTCTGAGGGATTTCAGAAGCAACGTGTCCACATCACTGCTAAGAATTCACGAATTGGGAGCGAAGATCGGCACAGTCAAGCATGAGAAACACATAAGACGCACACAAAATCTTGTTAACCAACACAGGACTAGCACTATTAACCACACAAAGCTGATGAATATGTTGAAAGGGGGATTTGGGCACCTATGGATGTATCCATATGGATGTATCATAACTCATACATTTAGAGACAAGGTGATGAAAAAAAAAGGAATGGAAGGTTTGGCTTGATATTTGGGTGGATGGCTGTTTGGATGGTTGCTTGTCTGGAAAGCTGATAAACTGTTAGGCAACTGGATCGATGAGTGGCTGGTTAGTTATTAGTATGAACTGTTGTCTGGATGGCTGCGACTTCCAATCAAATATGGGAAAAATGCATGCCGACAGTTTTCAGTTGTGGTTATTTATTTCCAACTGACCATGGTTTTTTTGTTGCACTTTTCATTTCTTGTGGACTGAGAGTACTTAGTTTTTATTCCCAACTACTGACTTTATCGAATGGCAGACAATATGAGCTGTGGATTTAATTTGGAATGCTTTATGACAGTGCCAAAGGTCGGCTGTGTTGTGACTCGCAGATTTAAAAAAATGTCAGGTGACCAGTTGCCACAGAACTGGTGATGACTTATGCAAAAGTGCAATTGCTGATTTGTTGTAACTGCTCCTTCCACCACTGATCAACTGCATTTCTAGAAACAGATTGTTTCTTTGGCTACCAGTCTGCCTTATGCTCTACACCCCTCTCCCTTTTTTTTTTCTAAACATGCACTTTGTATATTTTGAAAGATCCAATGGCTCAAAGATAACTTACCATAAACATTAAAAAGAGAGAGTCAACCTTTTTTGGTTACGTTATGAGAAAAAGGAAATTGGAACATGCTGTAACCACTGGAAAGATGTGTGAAATGAGAAACAGAGGAAGACAGCATGAGCAGATTCTTGACAGACCTTTGTCACTGTTTGGAGATGTCAACATATGAACTGATACACACAACTGCAGATCACAAGATTGGTGAGGCATGATCACCCATGGCAGTCTGCTAGGAACTTGATGATGATGCTAATCATGTATGGTGAGGCATTCTCTCAATGTGGGCAAATCATTCATGCTGCTGTGTTTGTAAAAAGATAACATTACAGCTTAAATTTATGAGAATACAACACCGAAGTTCATAAGCTCGGTAGCTACAGACTGTAACAAAGTGTTTACCTGGCCACAGCTCTCATGCTTGTAGAAGTCAATCAGCCTGGCAATACAACGGACAATATCAGCCTGGTTGTTCATCACAATGATGGCTGCGGTGCCCAGACCAGTCTGCACTCGGATCAGGTCATCAAAGTCCATCATGACGTCTTCACACACACTGCAAGAGAAGAAATGTAGAAAATAGTGTCACATGCATGCTTCACGAGTACAAACATGAACCTTAGTTTCAACATGCACACACAAAAAAACAAGAGAACAGACATGAACAGTTTTAAAAAAAAAAGGAGAAGAAACCTGAAGAGTTTATTTTAAAAAAAAAACTGAAGAAACAGGAACAGTTCATACACAAAAAAAAAAAACAGAGGAAAAACAGGAACAGTTCACAAAAACAAGAGCAGACACATGAGCAATCACAAAAACAAGAGTAGGAACATGAACAATCACAAAAACAAGAGCAGAAAACATGAACAATCATAAATACAAGAGCAGTAACATGAACAGTCTCACAAAAAAAGAGTAGAAAACATGAATAAATCACAAAAGAAGAGCAGAAAACATGAACAAATCACAAAAACATATAATGAAGTATGTGGAAACCTTAAACAGATTGGCACAAATAACTGTAAAAGCAATTTAATCAAAACAGACAATATAAAGTATCAGCAAGTTATGATCACCAATGTCTGAAACAAGATCAAGCACCTAAAGATAGGTCCTTCCAGATTTTGTGCACTGTGCTGAAATTCTCCTTGAATAATTCACAAAAAGAGACTGCAACATTTACAGAAATATCTGTGTGCAGTGAAAAAGCCACTCCCCCAAAAACCACATAAACAGAATAGTGATGGCAATTCCGTTATAAATTTTAATGCTCAGACTTACGACTTAGGAATCAAGGGTGTTGAAGATCCTCCAGGAATAACCGCCAGCAAGTTCTCCCAGCCTCCGATGACACCACCGGCGTGGCGGTTAATCAACTCTTTCAGGGGGATGGACATCTCCTCCTCCACGGTGGTAGGATTATTCACATGTCCAGAAATGTTGAACAGCTAGAACAGCAATAGAATGGTAATGGATAACATTCTCTATGTCAAGTCGAGTTTTTGTGTCGCTAAAAAAATAGATAAAACAGTCTTAGATATAGTCAAAGTTTCTACTTCACTGCTATCAGGTCACCCATTACTCGCTTCATTCCTGTGTGTGCAAAAATCAAATGAAATGTGCTTCACTGTCCTAACGTGACACCTGCTGTTGCTGCTAGGATGTTAGAAAATCTATGCGGCTGAATAGTTTCTGTGATTTGTACCTGTTTTATTTCCATCCTTTATGTGTTAATCCATCAGAATATATGACTCAGACGAGAGAGTGAGGTCAACGACACTGAGCAACTCTTCCTCACTTTAATCTAAGTCACCGTGCAAGTCACTCTTTCATCACCAGGTAAGCTGCAAACACCTTGAAGTCTTCACTAAAAGCATTTGGGATGAATGACACCAATTGGGAGGCTGCCTCTCAAGAAATGCATTTAAGAAAAGGATGGACAGATAGGCCACTGCAGGAGATCCCCTCCCTGGCACAACACTCATTCCCTGTCCTCACTGTCCACAAACTTTTTGGGCCCACATCGGCCTCATCAGTCATCCTCTTACTCATACTTGACGAAAAAGAGTGGACATCACCATCTTGATGGACAACACACAAATCCTACAGACTGTAATCCTGAAAGAGAAGAACTACCTATCCTACCTTGGGTGAAGGATACTGCTCTACAGGACATAGCTCCATCACAGCCTGCCTAAAAGGAACTCTGTCCTTACCAGCTCTCCTGCAATATGCACTTTCCTGCCCAAGGTGTCTTTACATCCCGTGCCTACCTTTCCCAGTACCATGCTGACCACCTTTCCCAGTACCATGCTGCCCACCTTTCCCAGTACCATGCTCTCCATTAGTGTTCTTTCCAAGCTATTGCAAAGTTTAACATAACTAATTGATTTCACTTTCCAAGACAATATTTTTTAAAAATTGGTCAGTAGTAGCATTTCTGCTCAAAAGCCTCAATTTTCTTCCTAAGTGACCATAAGATACTAGTAAATATACATACCTTAGTTCCACGATTCCGGTCTCGGCCAAAGCTGGCAAACCAAGTGCCACCGCGGCGGCAGATGTCAGGAGCTACAGCAACAGTCTCAACATTTGACACAGTGGTTGGGCAGCCAAACAAGCCTACATCAGCTGGGAAAGGGGGCTTCAGGCGAGGCTTTCCCTGCTTGCCCTCAATTGACTCAATAAGAGCCTAGCAACATAGAAAATATCACTGATGACCAAAAATACCTGGAACAAGAATTAGGTCAATTATGACTTTCTATTATCCAAATGTACCAACTGCTGTGCCATCTCCACAATGGAGGTTGGCTACTGTGGTTATATGCACCCACAGCTGTCACTGGGAATATCACTTGGTGAAGCTCCAATCTCTTCCACAGTGGAATTCTCGAACATTATTCAGAGGCCATAAGAAGTCAACTTTCTAAACCACAAACTTTAAACACAGATTTCCTGTGTGGCTCAGTGGTTGGGAGGGGGGAGACCAACTGCTACTCTAACAAGTTTGCTGTAAGAGGTGACCAATTAGGGATTTTTCCTCCAAAGGAATTGAGGAACCAACAGTCTGCATACAAGTAAGGGAGAGCTGAAAAATGGATGCATAAGCAAAGTTTTGGAACATGATTAAGTCCAGCAGTGGATGAACAACCAGAAATGTCCACTGCAGTTTACAGGTGGTGAATGGGAAGCAGAAGAAGAAACACAGGTATGTTAAGTACTGGGAAATGTATTCACTAACCTCTAAGCCTCAGAGCCACAATCATGACTCACACCATCAAAACAAACAAGGGAAATTTTTATCATTTTAACTAATACAATACCCCTATGAAACTGTTGATCATCATTTCTTTGAGTGCCCAAAATTCAGCGAGACTAGAAGAATCCTACTCCCTCCGAGACCAGACAAGTGGAACACCTTGTACGAAGGAAAAGAATAGCTTGTGAAAACACCTGAATTCCACTACATGACACTGGGCCAAAGGGCGAAAACTCATGCGCCGCTGGATCGATAACAACAACAACTTACAGAATATCAATGCCACCTCAATTCCAGACTGAACACATAAGCAACTAGGTTTGTAGACAAAAGGCAGAAACTTAAAAACTTAGAAAGACCCCTATGTGCACTGAGGGCAAAAAGAACTTGGTTGCTTGAAGTGAAAAGGAAATAGCCAAACTGATTGCAATGTTATAAATGTATAACGTGTGGTTCTGGTATTGCAATGCTATAATGTATAATATATGGTTCTGGCATTGCAATGTTATAAATGTATAACGTATGGTTCTGGCATTGCAATGTTATAAATGTATAACATATGGTTCTGGCATTGCAATGTTATAAATGTATAAAGTATGGTTCTGGCATTGCAATGTTATAAATGTATAACATATGGTTCTGGCATTGCAATGTTATAAATGTATAACGTATGGTTCTGGCATTGCAATGTTATAAATGTATAACGTATGGTTCTGGCATTGCAATGTTATAAATGTATAACATATGGTTCTGGCATTGCAATGTTATAAATGTATAACATATGGTTCTGGCATTGCAATGTTATAAATGTATAACATATGGTTCTGGCATTGCAATGTTATAAATGTATAACGTATGGTTCTGGCATTGCAATGTTATAAATGTATAACATATGGTTTATAACGTATGGTTCTGGCATTGAAATGTTATAAATGTATAACGTATGATTCTGACATTGCAATGTTATAAATGTATAACATATGGTTCTGGCATTGCAATGTTATAAATGGATAACATATGGTTCTGGCATACATACATATTTAATTTAAAAACACGATTAAAGACATGAGGATCAACTACACTGCACCAGGTTGTATCCTAATTTTCTTGGTTATTATTCTTATTGCTAAATACCTGATGAGGGGTGTCAAACTCCACTCCTCCAAGGATAACCCAGAGTAACTTACAAATAAGTTGCAACCCTTAAGCAAACTACACTGAAAACACACCTAGGGCTTCCAAAGCGAGAGGTAAACAGCCTGACCACATCCCTATATGTGCATCCTTACCATTTCCTTAATTTATGCACAGTGGGATGTACAGCAGGAGTCTTCCATCATAGGTATCAACCAGTAGCTTGTCCTGAACAAAACCTTGTGCCCCAGCAATTTTTATAAAATCAACGTGTATAGTTCCTATCTCTGTTGCTGCCATATGTAAATCATCCTGTACTGTGTCTGCTCTCATCTTCTTACTCTGTTCATTTGAAACAGACTGTATCTGCATTGAAACCTCTCATATCTTCTTCAGCGATCTCTGGCCATGTGCATAATTCACTGTGGGCCATAAACTGGGATGTCATCTCAAAGTCTCTTAAATTTCCCCAAAGCTTAGTTGTCAGGTCTACTGGGTGTTGCCCCATGTTGCTCCGCAGCTCCGCCAAGAAAGGACACTCTTACAAGACATCTGTATTAGTTTTCAATCTGTTTCTGATTTTCTCTTCTGGAAGAGATGATGGCCTCTTGTATGAATCTCACTGCCTTTTTAGTTCAATCAGTGGCAGGTATGTGAAATTTAGTTTTCACTAGTCAGTAGTTTTTCAGTGTTGCCTCTCTGGGTTAAACATTCTAGAAAGTCTTGTGGTAATGGCAATTCCACTTCCACAGAAAACCCCCCTCTTTGATTATCCTTTTCAGACTCATATTTTTTCCCTTCTTTTTCCCAAACTTAGAGAATTTAATTTTTATCAATATTATTCAGAAAACACAGAAATGTCTGTCAACATTCTATTGGGTAAAAAACAATCATGTCTGTGGATCTAGTTTCGTATACAAATTTACTTAGGCTATTCTCAAATGACCCTAGCCCGTTTACCTTAAAACTATGCATGAAAAAGAAATTACACAACCTAAAGAAAAAAAAAAAGATAGAAACTTGTAACTGAAACAAATTAATCCTATACCTTAATAAGAAGACATCGGAATGTCTAAATCACAGAAAGATGTGCACACAGAGATGTTTGGGGTGTGTGTGCCTGTATGTGTGTTTTGGCATGTACGTATGCATGAGCAGCAATGAGTTGGCCAGAACACCTACAGCAGTTAACGAAGACAGGCCAGAAAACAACCTGAATTAAATCACACAACTTAATATGGCTCCCAATGCCCAAGTGTATTCTGTGTTAGGATTTGCCTAATCAACCATATATGCAATCTTAAATCTCACTATACCACTAGCAAGTGAATGGATCAATTTATCAAAGTAAGTGAGTGAGAGAGAGAGAGAGAGAGAGAGAGAGAGAGAGAGAGAGAGAGAGAGCGCGTGTCTGTGTGAGAGAGAGAGAGAGAGAGAGAGAGAAAGTGAAAGAGAGAGAGAGAGAAATTCCTGTGAGGAATGGACAACAACACACTTATAAAGTAAAAAACCAACAACAACAACAAAATTGGGAGGGGTGGGAGGTGAGAAAATATAATAGATGGGAGCTGACCGTTTCCTCTCCACAAATGTATGCCCCTGCTCCTCTGTGAACAAACACATCAAAATCATAACCAGATCCACAAGCGTTCTTGCCAATAAGTCCCTCCTTGTAAGCCTGCAATGGAAGAAACCAGCCCAGTTTAATTATAATATACTCAACCAGTGGTCAAGTGGACACAACAGAAACAAATGTTAAACAATTATACTCTATACATAAGAACCAAATGTTAAATGATTATATTCTATACCTACGAACCAAACGTTTAATGATTATACTCTATTAAATAATACAAAGGTTTAAATATATAAAGAACCACAGGTTAAATTATTTTATTCTGTACATTAGAACCAAAAGTAAAATAATTATACTCTATACATAAGAACCAAAAGTTAAATGATTAAACACTATATATATAAGAATCAAAGGTTAAATTCTATACATAAGAGCCAAAGGTAAAATAATTACATTCTATAAACAAGAGCCAAAGGTAAAATAATTATATTCTATACACAAGAGCCAAAAGTAAAATAATTATACTTTATACATAAGAACCAAAAGTTAAATGATTAAACACTATATATATAAGAATCAAAGGTTAAATTCTATACATAAGAGCCAAAGGTAAAATAATTACATTCTATAAACAAGAGCCAAAGGTAAAATAATTATATTCTATAAACAAGAGCCAAAAGTAAAATAATTATACTCTATACATAAGAACCAAAAGTTAAATGATTAAACACTATATATATAAGAATCAAAGGTTAAATTCTATACATAAGAGCCAAAGGTAAAATAATTACATTCTATAAACAAGAGCCAAAGGTAAAATAATTATATTCTATACACAAGAGCCAAAGGTAAAATAATTATATTCTATAAACAAGAGCCAAAGGTAAAATAATTATATTCTATACATAAGAGCCAAGGTAAAATAATTATATTCTATACATAAAAGCCAAATGTAAAATAAATAATCATATTCTATCCACAAGAGCCAAAGTTTAATTATTTTTTTCTTAACACAAAAACAAAAAGGTTAAATGATTATATTCTATACACAAGAGCCAAAGGTTAAAACATTATATTCTGTACATAAAAACCAAAGGTTAAAACATTATATTCTATAAATAAGAACCCAATTTTAAATGATTACATTCTATAAGTAAGAACACAAGGTTAAAACATTATATTTTATACATAAGAACCAAAGGCTAAATGATTATATTGTATAAAAAAGAACCAAAGCTTAAATTATTATATTCTACAAAAAAAGAACACAATTTTAAATGATTTTATTATGTAAACAAGAACCAAATGTTCAATGATTATATTCTATACACAAGAACCAAAGGTTAAATGATTTAGTTCTATACATAGGAACCAGAGTTAAATGATTATATTCTATACATAGGAACCAAAGGTTAAATGATTATAGTATATACACAAGATACAAAGGTTAGATGATTATATTCTATAAATAAGAACCAAAGGTTATATGACTATATTCTTTTAAAAAAGGAACCAAAGGTGAAATGATTATATTCTAAACAATTACTGTGATCAGTCTGAAAACTGAGTTCAGAACTGATAAAACAGCAACCAGGACGCTCCCATAAGCAATCCAATCCCATCTTCAGCAGCCAATGCAGAGTTACCATTCTGATGGTTTCAGCAGCAGTCTGACTGTATGTATGTCTTGCTCCCCCCCCCCGAGTGTTGGGATAGATTATGTGGTTAACCGCCCCCCCTTTCCTCCCCTTTGTTGGCCATGATGAGCTGTGTGTGTCTCTGCGCTGCTCATTTGAGTTCACAAGCTAAAGCAAGACACTGACCTCGTTGATTGCTACTTGAAGGTTGGAGGCTTCATTGTAGAATTCCCCTCTGATGTAGATGTAAGCTGAAACAAGAAAAAAATTATTAAATCAAGGGTATATACAAACTTTCAATCAAATGTATGCAGACATTAAATCAAGGGTATATACAAACTTTCAATCAAATGTATGCAGACATTAAATCAAAGGTATATACAAACTTTCAATCAAATGTATGCAGACATTAAATCAAGGGTATATAGTAACATTCAATCAAGGGTATATACAAACTTTTAATCAAATGTATGCAGACATTAAATCAAGGGTATATACAAATTATCCCAGGGTTCTACATAACAACTGCACTAGTGAACCAATAAATAAAGCTGTGAAATGAACCCACGACCTTCACAGTGTGAGGTGAATGGCTTGACCACTTTGCACCAGAGTATCCCTTTGGCACTCCATGAGTGACATAATCAACATTATGCCGCTGCTTTTACTACCCAGGATATTATCAGGTACCCATTTCAGGCTAGGTTGACCTTTCACTGCTCCATGTCATGCGGGGTTGGTAATCATGCCTCTCAAAAGTCTAATGTCTCTTTTGCTGCCAATCATGTCTGCTATAGATGTTCTTCCCTGCTATGATGCCAAACTGCCCTATACCCCCCCCCCCCCCCCACTTTTCAAGTGCATTACAAACTACATAATTAGGGTTTCTCATTCTCGCATGTCGGCTCTGTGACTAAGTCCATGCGAACCCTTTGTAATGCCGGGTTCGATCCCAGCTGCAGGCCATGCACCTTGCGTTGGTTTCGACAGTGGTATCAAGAAAGCCGACCAATTTGTCTAGAAAAACTACACAATAGCCTGGGGCTGTTGGGGTTGGTTCTGCAACGTCCTGTAAAGGATACGAAACTAACCTAACTATTCTCGCATGTGTTTAAAGAATTATGACTGACTTAAATGCAGGCATCTAGTTCATTTTTGTACATTAGTCTCTTTAAATACATCGTTACATTTTAATCAGCTCATGGTGCTCTCATTATTCTTGGCAGCTTTAATATAATTGTTACTATTTTTTTCTCCTTAGTGATGAGGATGATGTCAGGATTTTCTGTACGTTCTTTCTAATACACTATGTAAGTTACTCTTCATTTCTTTAAATTATTAATAGCATCTTCATTCCTACTTTATGTTTTCAGTGCCAGATATGGACAATGAATGGTGCACTAGAACAGAAAATAACTACCCGTAAAGTGTGCTGCTCCGCAAAGCCACTAAGAAGACAAAAAGAAAACAGGGTTATGAATACCAGTATTAGAAAGAAAACCGGAATAAGACAGTGTCTGAATTTATTTTACAGGCAAACAATGAACTGGTTTGGCCATCTAGCACAACTGCATCCAAACTGCTAATATGATTTTTTACAGCAGAACATATAGAAGGAAGATAAGGGAAAGATCAAGAAATAGGTGGGTAAATGGTGTAGCTGAAACTTGCAAAAAGACAAACAGATCCATCACCCTAGCTGCCCGAGAAGTGCAAGATAAATACAGAAACACCAAGACCCTTTTGGCTACATTCTGGTATCAGTAAGATGACAAAAGAAGAAGAAAGAAGAAGAAGTCCCCGTGTTTTGTGCTCATTACATTGCTTCAGCGTGACTCCTATGTGGTATCTGGTACCAGGCTATTCACGACAGATCACCTAACCATTTCATCTGTTGCTCTTTAATAAACTACATGACTGGTTTCAGTTCCACTTTTCTAATTTCTATATTTTAAATATTATCTCTTCTTGTTTCTCTAGCAGCTTTTCTGAGACATCTCTACGCTGTTACAATTTGTCGGCTTATTAGTTTATATTAACTCCTGAAAGGAAAAAATAATATAACCTACCTGCTCTAGCATGCATGGACACACCGGCAACCAGACACCCCTCGACCAGTTTATGTGGGTCATGTCTCATGATCTCTCTGTCCTTGCAAGTTCCTGGCTCTCCCTCATCGGCATTTACTACCAAATACTTCGGCCTGGAAAGTCATAAATGAGTAAAGCGTTATCTACAATGTTCTGGTCTTGAATCCACAAAGTACCTCTTTTGTTGATACATACATACTAGTAATAATAAAGAAACAAACAAACCATAAAGAAACAAACAAACCATAAAGAAACAGACAAACCATAAAGAAACAGACATGGTAACAGTAAAGAAACAAAGTAACGGTAAAGAAGCATACATGGTATCAATTAAAAAACAGAAAAGGTAACAGTAAAGAAACAGAAAAGGTAACAATAAAGAAACAGACAAGGTAACCACTGAAGTAATATTAAAGAAATAGACAGGATAACAGGAAAGAAACAGATGAAGTAACATTTAACAAACATATAAAGTAACAATGAAAATACAGACAAGGTGACAGTAGAGAAAAAGACAAGGTAATAATTCAGAGACAGAAGGTAACAATTAAGAAACAGGCAAGGTACAAATAAAGAAATATTTGAAGAATAAAAAAAACAAACTGTGCAAATAAAGAAATATATGAAGAATAAAAAACAAACTGTGCAAATAAAGAAACAAACAGACAAGGGGTATATACAAAGAAACAAACAAGAAATCAGACAGGATTTACAAACCTGCCATCAAAAGGCTTGTTCATAAACCCCCATTTCATGCCTGTAGGAAAGCCAGCGCCACCTCTCCCTCTCAGCCCTGAGACAGTGATCTCTTTTAGAATCCATTCATGTCCCTTGAGAATGATTTCTTTCGTTTTATACCAAGCACCCTGTGAGCAAGAAGACAGTAAAAACAATGTTAATTGTTTGGTCAACCAATGCTCAATTTTCTCCAGGAACTAATTGGAATGCTTACCATATCAAAGAGTCAGCTGATGAAATTTAAACACATACAAAATGAAGCCATGTGAGAAATTCTGGGATGTACAAGAGATACCTTGGTAGTATGCATGAGATGTATACTCGCACTGCCTACTTTTGCTGATAGGCTCAAAGTTCTGCAAGGAAAGTCATATCTCAGAGTAGCTGCAGACAAGAAGCATCTCCTGCATGAAACCATGGGTAGAACTAAGGGTCACAGACTGAAAAGAGGAAAGTCTTGGATGATGCAAGCTGAGGACTCGATTGGACATGTGTACAGGATCGATAAGAGGAGTGGGTCAAAGTGTCCAATCAAGTTTCAGACTTCATTTCACTTTGATTCGTGAGTGCAGGGACTGGCCAGCTGGTGCTGCAGAATCAGAAGTTCAACATATGATTTATGACAATTCCCGCCTCAGTGATGTCATTATTTATACAGATGGCTCTGTGTTGAGGGTCAGATGAAGTGCATGGGGGTTCATAGCAAATGTGAATGGACGTCGCTGGGTGCAGCAAAGCCTGACATATGATATTGCAATGTTTAGTTTGAGAATGGAGGAGGAGGCAGTCACTGCTGCCTTTCGTTGGCTTAAGAACCAGCTGTATACACGTGCGTGATTGTAACTGACTCACAAAGACTATGTTGAGAAAGGTGGAGACAGGCATGCTCCTTGCAGAGTGGCAAGCATCACTTCAGATGTCCCGGGTAGTTAGCATCCTTGGGATATTTTCTCCAGGTTATACCGGTGTGTTGGGAAATGAGTAGCTAGATAGACTGGCCAGTTCTGCACTGCTTGGTGGTGAACTGATGTATGATAAGCTGGATGTTGTGAGGGCTCTTTGGAGCGTTTGAACAGTGCAGAGGCACAGACAGATCATTTCTGAGATGTGCTTTGTTGGGGTTTCTTCTGATGTTTGTACAGACACTTTGGGGGGTGGGGGGTGGGGGTGAAAAAAAAAAGGGGGGGGGGGGCATGTGCAGTTAGTTACATGGTCTGGCTGGTTCCTTGACATGTATTGTGCTTGAAGTTAAAGAAGAACTTAGTGCTAAGTCTAAATCAGTGAGAGTGTCTATCTGTAATAAATAATACTTTAAGCAACACTACATCAACATAACAGATGAAAGAATGCTGACTGCTGATCTATGTTGGGTTAACAGCACCCAAAACTACAGGTCACTCACAGGTCATAACACTTAAACTACAAATGACACAACTGCTAAAAATAAGTTCAGTGATATATAAGAAGCAAGATGGTAGGAATGTCACTGTCCACACCATCTGCAAAATTCTTTTTTCTGCAAAAAAAAAAAATGCACCTGGTACTACTTAAAAATGTCAATAACAACTGGAACGGTTTACAGAAATAGAGATAGAGAAATATAATGGGAGAAGATTCTGGACAACTTGTTAGCACCACATGGAAAGGTGTGAGTACACAAAGTGATTCATGCTGCTGGAACTGGCAACATGTAGAGAAGAAGTTGAAGTTTGAACAACGGATCAACATCATGGCACACGGGTAGTAACCCATAAGTGCTCCTTTCTTCTTCAAACTCAAGTCTGAGTCCAAAGAATCTCAGCACAGTGCACAGGCTCTGTAGCACTGGCAAGGGTCCTGAAATACTTTGGGTAGATTTTTAACTCCAAATTTTGCCCGTGCAGCACTGTTAGGCTATTCTTTTTGATTTTCAACTGCCATGGGATTTTTTGTACGTCCTCAACATTGCACACGGACGTCCGATCTCACTACCCAGAGACCAGAGGGAATTACTAGAAGTCCAAGTCAATGTGAAAAAATCCTAGCCCTTAGCGGGGATTGAACCCGGAACCTGTAGCACTCGAGGCGACACCATGCAGCCCCCTGTAGAAAAGAAGAACAGTCATCCATGCTAAGCAGGAAAGCTTCTTTTTTAAATGACAGCAACAACAACAAAAAAAAGGCGAAGGTGAGAGGATCGACTTCATTACACTGGGTTTTATCCCATATGGATCAGTCTCCCTCCACAGAACATCTAGCTGCCTGTTGAGAGCACGACCTCCGTAGCAACAATGATGATCCCTATGAATTTCTGTAAAAACTGCGCTAGTAAACTGCACGGTGCCGCCGTGAAATAAACCCACGACTTTTAGAGTGCGAGGCAAACCGATTGACCACTTAGCCATGGAGACCTCTCTAACAACAACAAAAAATACTGCACAAACTGTGCTTAGTCTTACCCTGGCCTTAGCTCCTTTAAGTTTAAAGTCATAGCGGCCGTAGAGGTTGGTGAAAATTCTATCCTCATCCTTGAGTGGTCCGTAGGTTTTCTGTGGGGAAATAAATGTCAGAAATGTTAACTAAATAACATTCTGAAGGTAATGATTGCTAGATTAAGGTATCATCATCCTGTGCCTCGCCATATGGCAGGGATAATCATGTGTCTCACCCTCTGATATGTGGTGAATCATTACGTTAGTTTTATATTGATTTGCTGTATTCTTATGTCCAGTGCTGATTCTCAAAGTCTCACCAGTTTTTGCCTGACTTCCAGTAGCTTGCATCCTCAGCAATGTCGCTGTCTCACATATGTCATTGAAATCAGCAGTTTAAATGACATTTTAAGCAGCATTTATGTTGCTTGCTTGATCCTCTATGTTTGTAGAACCAATCAAAGTACTGTCATTTCATTCCCATAAGCACATTATGGCTTGGTGTGAAAACAAAAGCAATAGGCATAACTATGGATTTCTGTAATGACTCTCTGTCACTCTTTCAGGTAGGTGCTATTTCCACAATGAAGGTTAACCTCAATAGTTCTCCAATACTCTCTTGCCCTGGATGAATGCTGATAGACTTTTTCGTCCAATCCTTTATATAATCCTCCCAACTGTATCAGTGATCTACCTTTCCCATTTGCCCCCAGTATTATTTTTTTTTTTTTTACAAGAATTCATCCTAAACAGTCAGTGCTCAGTTAGAAGAAATGTAGGAATGTCACAGCAGTTCTACATTAGATCTGGAGTGAGACAGGGATGTGTTTTATCAACGTCAACCAAATCTGCAAACCAGCTAACACCAGCTAGGGTGACAACACTGGACTGCTTTTTGTCAATGACCAGGCAATCATAGCACCAACAGCAGTATAACTACAAGAATATTTCAACAGACTCCACTCAGCATGTGAAAACTTTTATATGAAGATCAACGTAGACAAAACAGGAGTGATGACATTCTCCAGAAAAGGAAGAGCCACCAATATAAAAATTTATGAACATCAGTTTAAGCAGGTGAAGGATTTTACATATCTGGGAAGCATCTTTTCTTCAGAAAACAAGAATTAAAAAAGGAATACAACAAAGATGCAATACCAATCAAGCTTTAGGCCAAATAGCACCAATTTTGAAATGCAAGCACACGAATATGAACACTAAAAGAGCCATGTTCCACACAACACTTTAGAGAGCTGTGGCATTTTTAGCCCAACCTAGGAGACCTGATAACTAAGTTCTGAGGAAACCTAAGAGACTTTGAACTGACATCCAAGTTTTAAGCACTTAACCAGAGGCTGCTTAAGATGAAGTAAAGCCTGCATAAATACTACCTTAGGAAGTTTACAAACTTCTAAATTTTCTGTTGCCAGAGAAATCATATGCAGACAATTCTGAATCTTTCCTTGTCTGCACAAATAACAAATGCAATTTTTTTTTAAGACTTGAGAAAAAAAAGTATCTTTTAAATCACAAATTATCTGCATAAAAGAAGCCATAAATATTTAATAATAAAAAAAAAAAATTATATTTATAGTACCAATTTTTAGTTGGCGTAGGAAAGGGGATATAGAGCCTGTGGATTTAGGGTGCAAGGTCAGTGCATTTACAACAAACTGCAAGTTAGGATGTTTTGGGCATGCACTAGAAAAAAATTCCATTGTTTTATGATGAATTTGAACCTAGGTCTTCCACATGAGAGTCTAGTATTTTAAGCGATCAACCAGGTATTTCATAAATATAATAAAGCTGAAACTTGTAAATCTTCTTTAACCCACATAACTTAAAATAACTCAATAACCAAATCATAAAATATTAAACTCAAATATTGCTAGAAACTCACTTTTTCAGTTTTGGGAGCTTCTGTAGCATGTGTTCTCACAACTGCTGAAAGAGCCGAAATATTCTGGCTACGACCTGCATCAACATGTGGAGAAAAAAATTAACACTATCACATTACTGCACAACTAAAACACAAATCACAAACTGAAGTGGATTCCAGGTCACTGTGGCTTGGTAGGCAATAAAATAGCGGACAGATTGGCCAGAAGCTGCAGTGATATGGTAAAACCAAATAGCGACAACCCACTAAGAGATGAAAACATTAATACAAACTAGTATTTAAGAAAGATGGCTGGATACACACACCAGATTTTCTTCCCAAGACTCACTTCATCGCCTCTTTAGAGAGTGACTGTATTATATTCAGACTAAGGACTGGGCACAACAGACTTCCTCAACATATGTTCACATTTTTATAGTGTAGGAAACACGGAGATGTTTCCCTGCAGCGTGGCACCCGAAAACGCTGAGTATGTGCTAAACACTGTCAACTGTATGCTGACAACAGAGACGCAATCTGGACTGTTCTAACAACAAAGAAGACAAAGCTGTGTGGTACATGAGAGGATGTGGACTGCACGATAGCTTTCATAAAGGCTACTGGCCTCCTGATATAAGTTTCTGACAGAAGGATCGAAGAAGAAGAAGACATCTCACCATGAAAGTCTTAGATTAAGCATGCAATCACTAGAACATTATGAGTAATTTGAATAGGTTGGGAAACAAAGGCAGGTTTTTACATGTCGTCTTTCTCCTGAAATAAATAGTATATTTCTGATTCTCATGTAAACTTCCATATTTTTAGTGCAGTCAATGCAGCTTGCTAAATTTTCTCAAGAAGTGCGAAGGCTGCTCTAATACAAGGTAACTGCAAGAAGTTCCTAAAATAGTTGTTTAAAAGATTTTTTTTTGACTAGCTCTAAAATTTGCTTTATGAGAAAGCAATAACTTTTGTCCTAAGTTATCTAAGAACAAGACAAAATAAATTGAGTGTACAATGTGTGGCACAAAGATACACACAACCATAAAGAGAGTTAGCAATGAAAAGGGACAGGATAATGGTGTAGTAATAACAGCTGAATGATTAAGAGACTATAATATACTACAACTGCAGATAAAGTATAAGTATAAAGGTAAGAGTAAGTTCAGTCTGTTCAGCAAGGTGAACTTGAACTATTTCACAGATTCTTCTTTGCTTACTAACTATCAAGAAAAGAAGAATCAGTGAAATTAATATTACTATTAATACTAATACTATAACAATAAGTATAGAAGGGAGTCAATGAAAAGATCTGGCAGTCTTGATTCCTGCAAAATAATATGTTTATTCTGTCCTAGAATCTTGTCTTTCCCCGCGTGTTACGTAACTTATGTCGTATTTTTTGCGGGCATGATGATCTGGCTTCTTACATAAGCTGAGCTGCATCAATAAGCAGAAGCCCGGTAACTGGCTCAGTAAAGACCAAAGACAAGAATATAAAACAAATGACTACTTACAAAGAGAAGTGGATAAATGTGGAGCAAAGCGAGCAAGACCTGCCATTCTCTACAATCTAAGCCCCCAACTTTGCTCAAATCAAACTGTCTGCTGTCCGTTGGAATGGGAAGCTGGAGTTGTGGCTCTCAGCTTCGACCTTTAGCGACATCAACACCATTGACTGCTGGCTACATCCGGTCGGTGCCTGCAAAACTTGGAACGTCTCGGCGAGTTTATAATAATAATACATCAGAGTTGTTTATCACAATTATTTAATATTGTTTTCAGACTTCGAGTATTGATTTCCTGTCAGAGTAAAGGAGAGACACCATTTGAGTCACACACACAAAATATATTACTGGAGTTATTAGACTTTTTACAGGCACGTTGATTAATTAAGACTTAACCACAAGGCGGCCAAGAGATCAGAAGCGGCATATTTCTTCAAATCGTAGCATTGTTTGCGTTTAAGAGTAAAAGGTGATTATAACAATATTATATATATATATATATATATTTATTTACAGATTAGTTTTTTTTTTAAATTTTATTTCGTGACTTTTTAATGTTTTTAACTGTAGGCCAACTGAAACAAAATATGTTTGTTACAGTTACACTGTCAACTTGATGCAGAGATTTCATGGAATTATACTAAAGATGTAAAGTTTCTTAAATAAAAACCGTACTAAAGTTTAGCACATGTGGCGTGACTACAAAGCAAAAGATATGATATATGACAACCTGGCACAGTTAGTTGAGGGCCTGTTTATGTTAGTTAATAGTATTAGTAATACTTAATTAATAATGTTAGTATTATTTTTTTAATCTGTTCATGAATATTATCATCATCAGGTGCCTTGCCAACTGGCGTGGGCGATCATGCCTCTCCACAATATGCTATCTCCTGCAGCATGTATTAGCTCGTGTGCTGACACACCTCCATGCCGTGCAACACGACTGTCAAGAATAATCTCTCTTGTCTTCCTCTATTCCTCCTTCCACAGATCTTTCCAGTGGTCACAACAAAATATTTTTGTGTAACAACTTCAAAAGCAAGGAGAGACAGAGTTTGAAACGAGAACATTAGAGCTATTGTAGGAACCACACCATGCCTGCAATACATAAAGAAGCAACAAATAGAGTGGTTTGGCCACTTGAAGCGAATGCAAACCGACCAACTGCCTCTACGAGCATACAACGAACAGCACTACTGCCCTAGAGCAAGAGGCAGACCGAAAGTACATGGATAGACAATATATCAGAGATCCTGAGGCAACACGGACTAACAACAACACGTGCAACACACCTGGCCTAGGATAGAATACTGCGACTCCCCACTACGCTGTGAGGCAATTGCGGACAAAACAAGACTTCAAAAGCAGAAAACAAAGTTTCCATAATGTTTTTAAATTTTAACACTAGCGATTTTTGGATCCATAATTTGTTAATAATCATACCAAGAGTGTTGAGGTCTGTAGCGTCAAACTGGCCGCTTTACATCTAAAAAGGAAACTGACTCCCGAAGTATGTTGAGAAAGGTGGAGACAGACGTGTTGCTTACAGAGTGGCAAGCATCTCTTTAGAGGTCCCAGGACAGGTAGTTAGCATCCTTTGGATATGTTCTCCATGTTGTGCTAGTGTGTTGGGAAAACAAGCAGACAGATTCTGCACCACTTGGTTTGACAAGTTTAATGCTATGAGGGCTTTTTAGCAGCGAGTAAACAGTACGGAGGCCCAAATAGATCATTACGGTCTTAGGAGAATGGGTCTGTCTGGAGTTAACAGGGGAATCTGGCTCATACCATCAGAATTAGAACTCTTCATTTGCTGCTGAAAAAGGAGATGGAGAGCTTATGGGAGTGTCCCAGGTGCTATGATGTTGATTCTAAATCCAACATTTATCAAGAAAAGAGCTACTGATTAGGGGACATTTCTACTATATCTTTATCTGTCTTTGCTTCTAACTTTATAAATTTGCTCAATTGTCACATGTTTCAGTCTGTCTTATTTTTTTCTGCAACAACGTGTATTTTCTTATATAATGGCACGAACTAATATTCAGTAACTAGAGATTATACTATTTGTGGGAAGGCTGTGCAACCTGGCTATCTAGATGGAAAAGAGACAAGAAAATTGTATCGTGTCTTTTTGTGAAGTGTCAGATTATCTTTCTGATCTTCAAAACTGTCCAGCTACAAATAGGTAAAACTTTCAAAACGTCACATTTAATATATATATATATATATATATATATAAATATATATATGTTGTCTTTTCACAGATATATTCAAAATGAAACAAAGCCCCACAGCTCAAGATCAGCGTACTTTTCTCCGGGAAAGATTCCTGCGAATGCTGGGTTCTGTCAGCGGAGCAGATATGCGGGTCTCCATGCAAGAGAAGACGGCTGTCACATGCAAGTTTGTTACTGCGGATGTAGATTTTCACAATATCCATGTGACAGATTTGACAACTCCAATGGGTGTTTTACCTAGAGCAACTTTACGGACATCAGACATTATTTCCATTGAGTTTCCTGAAGTGAACCTAGCCAAGAATAGTTTACAAAAAACTGGATAGGTTGTAAATGTGTACATTGGACATATTAAGTGTCATAAATGGGTTGGGTTGTGATTTTAACTCTTCAGCACCAAGCAGTATATAAACTGTGATGAATTGGTAGGTAAGCAGTGGATCTGGGTGGTACTAAGCAGTTGGAAGAACAAGAGGCAAGCTTTCAGCCAGGTTTACCACTGGCACAGTCATCATGGGAGCTTTACATTAGCTACTTTTGCAGTTGCCCATAAAGAGTTGGTTGCCACATTATGTTGTGAGATCTGCACCTTTCAGCCAAACACTGTCAATTTCATATCAGTCCCTAATTAGTTGCCTTTTTATAATATGTTTGTTTAGGAACCCCCCAAAAAAAGTTTAGCACCAGCAAGGAAATCAAGTTACAATTTTGAGAGCATGCATCTTCCCTGTAGCAACTTACAGATGTGAGTCATGGACTATCTCCCAGACCTTTGGAAAGAAAATAGGGGCTTTTAAGTTAAAATGGTTTAGAAAGATTCTCAGAATACCATGGACAAGAAGAGAAGAAATACTGACATTTTAAAAGCTCTGAACATCAGGCAAGATTGGTTAATAATATAAATAATCAGCATATTTTCTCTGAAACTTGAATATTTTGGTCATATCAAGCGTCATGGCGAATAAATAAAAAAGGTAATAGCAGAAGGCATAGTACCAGAAAAAGGGGGCAGGGGCCAACCAGTACGAAGATGGGCACAGGATATTAGTGACTCCTTGTATATGGAAGTACATGAGGCAGGAGAGCTGGTGAAAGATTTGAGTTTGCTTCAGGCAGACCGTGGTGAGATTGAGGTTCTGCAACGGACCTGCTACATGATGATGTTTAGGAACAGTGGGTGTAACACCCCCACCCCCATAGGGCCCCATACATGGAGCTGGCTTTTGGGGAAAACTAAGCACATGTGAAAGGAACTGTTCCAAGCTCATTGATATTGATTCTTCATTCATCCTTCCTTTTTTTTCTGCTGCTAGAATGCCTCACAGCTTCAGAGCAGGAAGAGATTTCTGGAATAAGCCCTTCTGTTCACTTCATATACAGTATTATAGAACATTGTCTCCAATATTTCCCTGCTTCATCTTGATTCATTTATTTTGTGTTTTTACTTTCATGTTTATTTTCAATTAAAAGCATGTTCACACACAGATTACTAGTTCTTCTTGTTATCATTCTGTAAATGTTGGAACTGAGAGTGTAAAGCTAGCGACAGGTAATTTCCATTGTGCTCGCCTCAAGATCTTGGGTTCATATTCACATCGAAGGAGATTTGAGAGGCCTAGTTATTGGTCTAGGGGGTATCAGAAAAGCTTAGAATGAAAATTTTTTTAATGTAAAAGACCCTTTTTGATGCCGTTAGGCATATTGTGAATATAGTAAAAGGTAAAAAGGTCCTTTTCCAGGCTAAAGGCATATTGGGAATATAGGGCTAGACTTATTTTTTTATAAACCATTTGGCACTTGGTGGGTGATGTGATCAGCATCACATCGGCTGTCTTTACTTCCCATAATTGCACCTGGTACCCACTCAAGGTTGGGTATATAGTGCTATACCTGTATTCTTAGACCAGTTGACACTTGACCTGGAAAACATTGAAGTGCCATCTGTACTTCCCAAGACCTTGCTCGTTACTGATTTATGGTTGGGTCGACCTGGGAGCCAAAAACTCTCTGACTATGCTGCAGCTTTTTTAGAGAGTTTGTGGGGAAAAATTAGGGGACAGTTAAATGTCAAAATATGGATGTATGAACATCATTCTCAAGGTTACCCTTTGTGGGGAAAACAAGAACAGACCCACTGCCTCCCCAACAAGCATGTCGTAGGAGTCTACTAATTGGGGGCTTCTTTTGAAGTCAGAAGGCACCTGCCTGAAGGGCAACAAACAACCAAATGCACACAAATAAGCCAGTAAAACAGGTGCACGCGCAAAACTCAGGCCCTGGCATAAAGCTAAAGTCCGAATGGATGAGCAACCAGGACTTTCCACAAGAGCTTACAGCGTGGGACCAAGAAGAAGAAAAAGAATCTCAGGGTGTACAGACAGGATGGGAATGTGCTGAAGCTGGCACCTGCTCGATTATTTTTTGACTAATTATTCTTTAAGGCTGTTCTCATACTCAGGAGGTCCTGCTATGCAGTATGCAACTTTGGATAACTGGTCTTCTGTCAATCTACATGGTGAATTGATGAAGCCACTTTGCTCATGCTTTGAGAGTTGTGAGTTTTGGACTTCTTCATTGGTGTGCCGATGTTGCAGAGATCTCTGGGGGGTTGTTGCTACAACGACAACTCTGCTTTAAGTATGAAGTGATAACATGGGTGAATAAATGTTTATTTGCAATTAACATCAAACTGTGTGCAACATTCAAACGTTGGACAGTGAGAAAATGGTGATGCTTTTGTGTTGGTAAAACCTTGTCATAAATTTTATTGGGAACCTACGGCTATTTCTTTGCCTCCTATTTCTTCTTTTTC